CCTCCAAGTCCGCCTTGAAGAGGGGGCTATACTCCGACACGATGCTAGTTCCTATATGCTTCTATGACATATGCACTTCTTCATGCCAGCTGACCCAACAAGCATGAGGGAACATACATGGCTTGAAGAACGGGCAGGCGACGAAATAGCAGTCAGCAAACAGTTGAATATTCTCAGAAAAGTACCACATCTTCGTCAATAGCTTCTTCGCACTGCGATGAGCCAGCGGGAGCAACGCGCAGCAGCAGGTCAAGCCAAACCTCACAGCTAAGTCGATCTAAGTAGATTGATTGAAAAGGATCATCACACCGCCAGACATTCTATTTTTGGCGCAGTGTGTCGAGCTTCTCAATGACATCGCGCAAGCACACGTTTTCCGCAAAGGCGCAGGGGGCTTCGAAAATTGATTCCACCACACTCTATTGCCATCGAAAATCGAGGCCCGATCACCCTCCAATCTCGCTAGAGCCTCACACTTCGAATGTCCGGCGAAGCAAAATGCCCGCGGAGCCCACCATGTATCCAACCTTTCCATTCTGAAAGAACTTCACATTGTACAAGTTGCATGGCAAATCCTTTGCGGATGGGTCGAAACTCCACGTCTTTCCTCCATCTTTGGTGAAGTATATCACTCCACTGCCTCCTGTGGCGTATGCCTCTGTGGGAGTTCGGAATCCGATGTCGATAATGCCAATGCCACCGGAGCGGATCTTTGCGAGCTGAAAGAGGTCCTTGGTGTCGGAGCCCAAATCCATGAAGCCTTCCTTCTCGCAGGTGGTCAGGACACCACCATTGAGACTCATCCATGCTCCCTCCACCTTCTCACCATCTGCTGCATCTCTGAATCCCATGCCTTGAATTCGCCGGGCTGAGATGCGGTTGTGTGGAAGCCAACGTTCATCCCCGGGGGAGAAGCTCAAGTAGAAGTTCCCGCGCTGTGCCACAGCCAGGTAACGCCCAGCAGCATCACGCTTGATGGCCTTCACACTACCTGTGAAGTAACTGCCTCCGGACACACCGCTAGCTGAAACGCGGTTCAGCGTAGCATCGATAGTCTCCGAGACTTGTGACCTCCAATTCTTTCCATCATTGTCGGTGAGATAAATGGCACCACTATTGGTTGCCATCTCTGCTTTTCCGGGGCCCAAGGACACAATAAGCTTTGGTTCTCCAGGCAGCTTCCGCGACACTGGTACCTTTTTCCAACTCTTTCCACTGTCTTTTGAGTGAAGGAGCAGCGGAGGCTTGCCCACAATCCAAACTTCATCACCATTCACCGAGACAGTCTGAAATCGGTAACTGATGTCCTCGCCCTTGCCCAAGTTCGCAAAGGAACGGGACACCCACCTTTCACCACCATCTTTGGTCTCATAGAAGAGTCCTCGTGCTCCCACAATGAAGCCATGATTGGGATCCTTCTCATCGAAGTCCACATCGTACAAAGTCTCACCTGTGTTCAAATCATACTGGACCCAGGTGGCAGCAGCTGCATTGGCTGGGGTTGCCAAGCTAGCCAAGCTAGCTGCTGTCAGCCCAGCGCTGCCACGCAGCAGTTGGGCCCGAGAGACTTCCACCATCTCCACCGGGGTCGGCTTTTCTGGAGCCTCCAACTCGGATGGTGGCGCCACCATTTCCACCCGCTTCAGTGTAGCCTGGCATCGGACAGGCTGTCTGGAGCGGAAAGACTGTCCCGCGATGGCGCAAGCCGCTAAAGCCAAACCCCAGGACATGGTACTAGCCGTGGTGCTGCGTAGGGAGCTTGTCTGGTCCACAGGGGCCAAAGCAATCTTCGGCACTTGCGGCGACCCGCTGGGCGCCAGCCATGCCGGCGCACATATCGTCAGAACGACAGTGGCCAAGGCAAGGAACGCCACCGGACGGTGCAAGGCCTTGGCAGCCATAGCTGGTTGACCACAGTGCAACCACAGCCGTCGCTTCTTGGCGAGGCTCTCTTGTAATTGAGCCAACACAGCAAGAAAGTTCATCCCGTGTCTCATTCCAGCAGCTTGTTGCAAAGCACACCCTCTCTCAAAGCAGGAACAAACATTGAATCCACTACTTCTCTTGACCTGCTTTCCGCCGAACGCGGCACCATTGCTGTCGAGCCGCGGGCTTGTGATCACCTGAGCTGTTTGTCATCCCATACCCTCGTGTGGCAAATGTGCATTGAATTGCTACTTCTCAATGCTGACAAGGTAGGACCTGCCATCAATGCGCCCAGGCACTCCCGCGCTGCTCATGGTTGACGCGGTAGCCCTGGTAGGGTTCCCAAAAAAGACGCGGTGCCAACACATCTGGCGCCCAGTAGATCATCCGATCTGGGCCTCCAAAGTAGCTGATCCGAGCATATTCTTATACATTGTTCATATCCAACACGGTCCGTCATTCAAACCTCAAGCCACTTTGCTAAATGACAGCTCTGGGCCCCCCCAACATGCCGGGAAGCGAAAAGGCCGGAAGTTTTTTTTCTTCTGGAATGCCAGGCCCCATCCTTTGAACAACTGATTCCCATCAAGCAAATGTTAAGCCTGCACCAATGTCCTGTATGAAAACAAGGCATCTCTGAAGACTATGTAGAAAAGGCAAATGCTTCAAAATGCGCCCCAGCATCTGCTGCAAGCATCTTCTGCGTCAACCATTGTCTCGCGGTATTTCCTCAGCATTGGTGAGAGCTGCCATGCATTTTAATCGGTCAATCAGCATGCAAAACAGCATAGGTTCTCGACGCTTTTGCCCTTCCTGTCTCTCATCAAGCTTGAAAGGTTGAGCCGAGGAGCTTTGGCGAGTGGCCACTGCTGACAGCATTGGGGAACAACCTGACATGGGTGATCCAATTGTGCTTACTGGAGTTGCTGGAGATCATCTAGTGACAAAACATGACAAAAATTGACAAAACTAAATGCAATAATGAGGCCCCATGGACCAGCCTGGCTTTGCCAGCCTCCTCTAAGACATCTCCGATCCTAGCCAGGCTGGTTGGCGGGTTGGATGCTACAGTATGATGAGATTTTGGCTCTATCAGACTCGTTGGGCGACATGGCAAGGTCTGGCAATAGGGCACAGGTCATGCCCATCAAAAGCAATGAACCAAGATAAACCAAGTCACCAGTCATCATATGTGGCGGCGTTTTGTATGGTTCCCCAAGTGAGAACTGTCCTGATTGCTGATGCCTCTGAAGTTGGGATGAACCTCCAAGGCTGCTAGACATGCACAAAAGGAATGCTCACAAAGCAGCATATTTGCAACTCCTTGTGTCTTCTAATGTCACAAGAAGGCGACAAGGGCGGCTTTCTGGTAGCCAAATATTCACCGATTCAGGCTGGGAGCTTGTAGGTCACTGGAAGCTGAAGTGCACCTTTCGCCGTATCCGGGCAAGCCACCTGTGGAAGGACTGGCAGATGCAAAGAAGAAGGTACCGAAGACAATCTGAGAGTTCACTGGTCATAAGGGTCCTAGTTCATTAGATTCTCAGATTCTAGGTTTCAACCCCTTATGGCAAAGCCAAGGGGGAAATGAGACTCTGATGAAAACAACGTGTCAAAACTACAAGCTTAGAGTGATTGTATGCTTCGAGCTGCCTCATACCATCTCCCATTGGGCAAGTCCATGCCACCTTGGGAGATGTGATTGCAACATATTGCAACTAGGAAAGGCAGCTTTTCCGCACCTTAGGACGCTACTAAGGGCTCCTGGCATCGCTACTAGGGGCTCCTGGCCATACTACTAGGAGCAAGTAGCTACTAGTAACAAAAAGCTACGAACGGGGCCCCTGGCATCGCTACTAGGAGCGATCGGACGCTAGGAACGGGGCTCGTTGCTTCGAAAATCCCTGTCGACCCCTCACAGCCAAGCAATGCTCCCAAGTCACGCTGGATGGCACGCTGTAGAGGCAGGTCCTTCAAGACCTGACAAAGAGGCAAAGCAGGCTGCAATTTCAGCTTCACTCTCTTTCTCTTGAAGTGATCCCGTTGTATACTGTATTTATATATATATACACACGTATAGAGTATAGAGTGACTGCACCTGGGTCAATGCTGTGCATCGACATGATTGGGCCTCCAGCAAAAGGTCCTTGCCACGCCCTTCCAAAAAAGTGCGGCTGTTCAGGTCACCCTGAAGGAAAAGTACAGTGCCACCTGAGTTCGAGCAATTCCCGCAAGGTACAGCGAAGCAAACGGAGCTTAACCTGTCGATTTCCTTTTAGTGATGTTGGATGCCAACGGTATGCACACACACATACACAATGGGAGTTGGCCTCTGCTGCCAGGCTGCGGTCCAAATGCAACTGCTTGGAAGCACTACGAAGCACTGACCGAAGGAGTCCGGCCCATAAGCGCTTGGCAGCCTAGGCTGACGAGTTGTTGCCGGCTAGATAAGCTGCTGAACGTGTTCAATTGTTTTCAATTATCCAGTAGCGCCGAGGCTAGGTGCAGCCAAGGCTCTTCCAGCGTCGAACACTGGCCTTTCCTAGGGTTCACATGGTTATAGACTCGGTTTGCTTTGGATCCGGTACCGCAACCCCCCCCGTTCCGGGTTTGATGCAAAGACTATTGTGAAATGCCCACACGTATTTTTCTCGCTTGCTCCAGTCCCTCCTTCAACCACAAACGGTGCTCCACTGAGTTAGGAGACTGGCTCAGAAACGGATGGCCAGAACAAAGGCACAGCTTCAGAATTTGGTCCCTCCCGGCAAAACAATCTTAACAAACTTATCAGCCTTATCAAACAAAACATCACAACACAATACAAAGCAAGCAAATTTGACGGGCTGTGCGAAGCCGAGCGGTGGCGGAGCCATAGGAGCACCTATACTCTATATCTCTATATACAGTAAATCAACGAACGCACCTGCTCCACACAAGGAGCAGGAACGATCATAATGTCAAAATCGGCTGCATCGGCCTCTCTTTGTACAGAATGGAACGCGGCTGATGGATCCGTGCCAAGAAATCACTTTTCGGGGCCAACAAGAAGCTAGTAGTAACAAGAAGCTATTAGAAACAAGTGCCTTACTAGTAGTAACAGGTGCCTTACTAGTAGTAACAAGAAGCTAGTAGTAACAAGTGCCAAGAAATCCCTTTTCTAGGGGCCAGGGTCATCCTGTGGACCCTGCTTTTCAGCAAGGCTTCCAAACCACCCCTCAAACCAATATGCAAAAGCACTGACGAAAAGGCCGCTGCCAATTCCAGTGACGATACCTCCATAAGTCACCATGCCACCTGCAAAGCCTGTGTTGAAGAGCTTCCGAAGCCCTATGCTCATACCCATCATCACCATGATGAGAGGGTAGAAACCTGGGTTTTTGGAGCATTGGGAAGACATGAACATCCACGCTGTTGGACGCGACCTACCAACTTTCAACACAACACTGGATTCACTGGATGTTCCATGCTTTCAAAAGCCAACATGTCCAACAAATCCTAGCTTGTGAGCCGGCTCATCGTGTGCATCTTCCGCTCACACACACACACATCGAGGGGCGAGGCGAGAAGATCTGCCAGGGCTTGGGCTTGGAGAGGGCTGCTATGCGACGCCTGTTGCGTAGCGCAGCCTTCGCCAGCACAAAGCGGCCTTTGGCCAAGCCACCACAAAGACCCAGAACAACTGCAAGAGACACAGCCCTGGTCAAGCAGCATGCCCAAACGATGACGCACGCTCTCCATACATAAGTTGCTCACAACATCGGGCTATTTGTGGGAAACTGGAGAAAATGGGTTCACCTAAGTTCCAACAGAACTCGAGAATCTGGTGAAGCATTTGTTCCCAAAAACGCGGCTCCTACCTGCCACTTGAGTCACTGCTCTGCAGGGCTTGCCACAAGTAGCGACCGCCCCGAGCCATTAGCATGCAGCCGGTAACAAGCCATACAGTGCCAGCAGTGCACTGCAGGCCTTTGTTCCTTGGACGCACGGGCCCAACCCTACACAAGTTAATTGCCAACTTGACATACTACTAGTTCGGTCTATATATAAACTTCTTGTTGCTACTGGTAAGGCACTTGTTACTAGAAGCGATGCAGTAGCTTCTTGTTTCAAAGTAATAGTGATTTTTTGCATTTGCTGCAAAGTTCGGTCTAGCTTCGCCATGTCTGCAGTCGAGCTCGGCTTTTCCAATGCTTGTGAGCAGGCAGACCTTGCTGACCCGAAACCCTTGTAACGTAGATGCGTAGAATGACCACGGGCAAGCGAGGTGAAGGAGCAAGCAAATCGCGCCAATTCAGTGAAAAGAATCACAACAAGCAGCGGAAACACTCTATTCTGCATCTGAACTGCAACAACACCTGGAAGCCAACCAGCTGGCGGTAAGAGCCGTCTTGAGTGCACATGTGTACGAGATACAACAAGCTGTAACAGTTCTATTTCGTTTCAATCTGCAATGGCTTGTCTTGAAAGCTTGTTATTGCTATTGCACTTGGACTGACATCTAGCCGTCTAGCCAAATGATGTCCTTTTCACTTCTATTGCATCCATATAGCTGGGTTTAGCTGATCTTCGGTGCCCACTTCGGCACTTGCTTCTTCGAAGCAGGGGTCGCAATCCAAACATTGAAATTGACATGGCAATCAGCAGGCGTGTCTGGATTATATAATGTGGTGCTCTTGTCTACAGTATGCGCACAACACCCACAAAAGTGCCACAAAACCCCTCCAAGGTACAAAAATAAGGCAACTGTCCCTTATCACTCGCACAGCTCAGGACACGCCACATCGTATGTGCCACCATGACAAATTTCCCTCAGATATCCTCAGATCCCCTGAGGAGCTCGATGCCAAGGGCTTGACCAAGCTATGAAGGACTTCTGGTGGGGCAAGGAGGGGCGGCCAGGGCCACAGGCGACCAGTGGCGATGCAAAGATCAAAGCAATCCAAGCAATTCCCAAAACGCTCAAGGAGTCCCTTGATGGCCGATGCCCTGTGCCGACTCTGTTTTTTTGTGACATATGATGACAGGTCCATCATTCTGCATGTCCGATCCTTAGATTTTCAGGGATGGGCAGGGCCGGCAGGGCACGAGGGTGTGTTTTAAACTCGACCAGGTTGGCCGAAAAAGAGCTCGACAAGAAAACAATTCATGCTCGACAAAAAACGAATGCAAAGTCTCGACAAAAGTTGCTAGTTACAAGCCCGACAACCTGAGAAGGGAGGGAACGAAGCTTCACCTACTGAAAAAAATTATCCGTTAACACAAGAATGAGCAATTAAGGAGTTGCAAACTCTGTGCAGCCGCTTTTTCACCGGTGCGCTTTGATGGTGGCCACTCGCTCGTCGACCTCCTGCAGAAAAAAGTTTCCGGATGTGCTTTGCAAATTTGGGGTTGTGAAGAGTTCGCAGTCGCTCCTGAGGTTTCAAGACTGCTGTCTGCCAGTCTCCTTGCACGGATTGACTCAAAGAGTCAAAGTTTCTTCTTTGTGCCAACAGCAGTCTATTTTTGATATGGAATCTTTGCTTTTCAATATTGCTTGAGCTTTGATCGTCTTAGAAGAAGCGCTCATATGCCAAAAAAAAGGCGCAAAAAACAAAAGGAACATAGACAAAGCTCTCTCTCTCTCTACATCTCTATCTCTGTCTGCGTGGTCCTGTGGAGTGGAGATGAAAAGTTGAAAAAACGGAAAAATTAAGGACATGTAAAGAAAAGTGTCTGTCTCTGTGTGGTCCTCTGAGTGGTGTTTAAAAAGGGGCTTTCAAAAAGCGTAAAACACGTAAGGAAAGGTAACAAAAAGCCGTGCCATCTGTTCTTTCCCTTTTCTATTTGCTTTTCTTTTTGATTATGTTTTTGGTAAGCGTTTTGCACATGCCTTTTTGGATAAATTGACATGGACAAAACGTGCGCTCTCTTTGTCTATACACATAGACCTCTCTCCCTCTGTCATCCTGTGAAGAGGAAATGCAAAGCAACAAAATCAGCAAATGCAAAGCGAATCAGGAAACACGGCAAACAGTGTGCTTTGGGGGAAATGTGCACATCGCACCAGGACCAGCGTTGCGCGCTACTTTGCTTCCGCTGCAATGTGTGCATATTGCGCGCGTTGAACAACAGGCATTCGTTTGACCTTGGGGGAAAGCGCCAATGGCTTCTCGCCTTTTCGATACTTCTGAAAAGGCAGAAGTTGCGCAGTCGCGTAGCATCGCGCAACCAAACCCCAGAAACTGAAACGTGTATAAAAAACTGAAACGTGTATATCTAGATACATAATGTATTGCGCTTCACCTGCTAGGGGCGGCACTACCAGCTCGCGGCCTTTTGCCACACAGTCAGGGAATCCAGTGATCACCACCTGCGACTGGTCCATCGTGGGGGATCTGAAATGCAACACTCAACCCGGAGCAATCATTCAATGGTCTCTCGCACAACAAAAAACCATGAGCTCCTGATCCGTATATGTAAATATAATCTGGGATACAATCAAAAACTCTCAAAGCTCCAAAACTCTTGCCTTGTTGACACCTGGAGATACTTCCTTCACCTTGCAATTGAAAGATCTGAAAACAGCTGACAGTACTCTGTGTGGCTGAAATGGTAGGTCTACTAGGTGCTCGAACGGCTAAGTAGGCTCCACTCTGATCCATCATGCTAGAGAGATTCTGACCTGAAAGTCTGCCAGGTCATGCACAGCAAGGCAACATTTCTTCCACAGCTTGCGATCACGAAGCTAGAGCGGCCCACCTTTCGGCCCAATGAGTCTGGAGACCAGGCGTGCATCAATATCTGGTGAAAATTATTCTCACTCAGACACCCATGATTCAAATCAAACCAAGTTGAACGCAGTGATCTGTCCGCAGATTGAAAATCTGTCCGCCCCTCCCACAGTCCATCATCTCAGAGACAGAGCCCATGGTTGCGCGGTCTCCTTCAACCGCAGACTTCACCTGAACCATGTCACATACAATGAACCAACATCCAGGGTTTTTACCCGACGTCCAAGACTAAATTAAGGATGTTCTTCGTTTGGTTCAGCCTCTTTGTCGTCCGCTGGCTTCTCATGTGTATCAGCAGGCGTCGGCATTGCTATCTTTCCACGCAAGTGACACCTATTTAGTTACATTTTGTTATGCTTCTGTTTAAGACATAAGAAACCACTGATCTAGATGCTTCTGTGTAAGACATAAGAAACCACTGATCTAGATGCTTCTGTGTAAGACA